AGGTGCTTCTTCGTGATTTCGACGAATTAAAAAAATTCTTTTTTATACATTGTCTAGTAAATTAAGTCTTCCAATATCTCAAAGATAATTATTATTACTATTATTCTTTATTGATAGTTCACGTCTTTCGAGTTCGAACGGCCTTCGGACTTTACCATGTCCCTTATTATTTTGAATCTATATTCTAAATTATACTCTTCTTTCAACTTACTTTCTGTATTACACACTCTTTCAGTTTCTCATTTTTCTCTCTCTCTTCGTCTTTCATTCATTTTTCACGACCGACACGGAAGACAGACAGAAAGACCAAAAAATGTAGTCACTTTCTGTAATACGTGTAAAGTCAAACCATATCTTTGCTTAAAATATTTTAATAAATTCATTAAAACTACGTTATTTATTTCTTAATATATTAATAATAATAATAATAATAATAATAATAATAATAATAATAATAATATAATATAAGTTGCTCAACGAGAAGTAGATATACGCAGAATCTCTCACTCGCTCACATATCGTGGCTGCAGCTATCCTGCTGAAGTGTTGACCACGTGCATTTGTTTACGTCTACTGTCCCGCCTTGTAGTCAACGATTTATATGCTAATAGTACATTCCGATGAAGGTAAGGCGAGAACGCGAGTGTGTATGTAGCTGCATCGCGCCCGCCTGGTGTTACCTTGTCTCATGTCATCAGCGCACGGTTTCGAATTGATTTTTTTATTACAAAGCGCGAGGGCGAGCAACAAATTCGAGAACATCTATACCTTTATTAGCGGGCACAGTTCAGTTTTTTATCGTTCTGCCCATCTCAATATACCCTTTACCGTGTATACTGAACCTGTGGAGAGAGTTCGCTGCGACCCCCATGATTCCAATGCGCGAAACGCTCCTAGACTTTCGGGAACTCAGGTATACATATGTCTAATCAGAAAAATGTCAGATGATTTCACAACTCGAGGCACGAGAGCCAAACCGATCAGAACCAGTTAAAGAAAAGTTAAATACAATGCGTTGGTTATAATTTATAATAACAGCGATATGCGAAAAATATTAGGATATTATACTATAAATTATTGTATAAGGTTTGTTGTATGTATATTATACTTGTATAAGGCTTTATTTATGCCTCACAAAGACACCCGGGAGGTACAGATTATACTGGCATAAGTTTTATTTAAACTCTAATTGTAAGTCCCGTTTATATCCAGTACTTTAGAAAATATGTTTCGTGCAGAGTTTGAAAATCCATCGTTAACTTTTTAAGTGAGAATGATCAGACGGTGGAATAATCAGCAATAAAATAAGGCCCACATTTGTTAGTCTCGTCGGGATCTGTATTGAAACATCTAAACCTCTTTTATAACCGTTTGTAGACTCAGTATTGGAAGTTGGAAATGTATCAATGTACCGTAAGGAAAATTTGGTGTGTTCTCCAAAGAAATTTTGGCCTTGAAAGACGGTTCCGCCGTAAGTTACAATGCCATAGCAGAGAGTTCGAGGTATTGGGAAAAATCGTGCAAAAGCATGGAACCTCAGAACGGACCGGCGGCTTCCCCAATCCCCCTTCTCCCCCCTCCGTGTGCAGCTTTAAGTAGCTACTAGACCTTTTTTTATTGCCGATCCCGTAAGTTTCAGGTCAGTTAGCGACAATAATTCGCTGGCAAATAAAGTCGGGAACGGTCAGGTAGTTCTAATGAGAAAGGAAACAAGAGAGGCAGATGGTGCAAACTCCTTCGGAAGTTCCAGTGTATATCACCAATGTAGGATAGTATTTTATGTATATATTTAGAGCAGTTTACTCCTATTGACCGATGATATCACCCCACTTTCTGCATAGCGTTCAGATCAGTTTTACGTACAATAATGTACCATGCTTATCGAATAGAATTGTTAAATATCAATATCGCTGTACCTGAGATTTTTCACGATGGATTCTAGACATACCCTCCAAGGTCTTTCTGGTAATAAAAGTATTCACAGGATACGGAGGTAAATACTTCACGGACAAAACAGCCATTTCAAACAGGTCAGGGTTGCCGACATTAACTCAGGTAACGATAATTACTAGCTAAATTTGTATATTGAACTCTAAGAGACGAGGAAAAAGGTTTCTTTTTTTCTGTAGTCCTATAAACGTTGTACTAGTTTTACCGGGTTACCCAAACGGTCATTAGAAAATTTAATTTTACTCGTTTATGAGACTTATAAATAAGAATAGAATAAGGAAAGAAGGTGTTCAATAATATGCCAAGAAATCCGAAATTTTCAAGGTAAACTACAATTTATGATGGATGGTGAGATGGAGGATGAGAATCGGATATTTAAGAAAAGAAAACTCCAGTTGAATAAAATAAGAAAAAGGAAATATAAAAGAGAGAGCAGCCCTCAGCCTCCTTTCGCGGCCGAATTCCCGATCACTGTTCTCTGGAAGAAGACAAGGTGCGATTGATTTATTACCGCACGTAAACTCGTGCTTATATTATGATAAGCGAAATACGAAGATATAAATTCGTACTCGCTTCGCGTGGGTTGTATTTTGATTGTGGACACGAGAAGAGAACAACTATTTTCCTCGTGTCGAATACGTATCTTCGAATTTTGCCTCGGAAAGTACGGAATGTTGTAAGTACTCCGAACTTTTTCCTTGGCAATTCAACTGGTTTGCTGCGGTATTCAATCCGCAGTGATCTATGTGACGAATCACAGTGTCACAGTTGCTGCTTGGCAATTCTCCTGCAGGAAAATATTAGTAGACCTATTACAACTGAGAATAGGGTTCTAGGCCGACAGAGGTATGCCACTTCGCAGGAGGAAGAACAGGGCAATAACGAATGGTTACAATGTTACGGTACAGAGCAGGTATGATGGTCAATGGCGCCGAAGTGCTACTTTTACCAGCGAAATGGACCTGCTTAACCAGCGAACAAGCGTTCAAGCGATGACCGAAGGAACACCGCTCCGATAGGATCTAAATTGCGGGAGAGTTCCGCTCAATTTAATAAATCGAATTCCTATTTATTCGAATAAAGATTGAGAGTCCTCAATTTTTCAGCAATCAGTTGATTTAAATCCTGAAACCAAACGGAATTTCTTTCGTCTTAATCGGATTAGAGCGTCTCCCGAATTTGCTCCGAAGATACCGAAATATTAAGAGCTAGACTGTTCGCTACTGACCCATTGTCCTCCTTGATGAAACGTATATTACGTATAAACATATGTACCGATACACAGCTCTATTTTTATAATATATTTTATAACACGTGCCAAAAAAAGACCATTTCTATTCTCTGGCACTTGTAATCCGGGCCTCTGCTCGTCCGTATGTCACAGCTCGGATCTATAAGAAATAGATCGCGAGCTATAAGCAGATTGTATACAAATAATAGGCCTAACGGATCTTTTATTTTAAATTCTCGCGGATACGTAAATTATTTCTAAATTTCGGGGAATTAACTAACCGTTAATTCCTGAAGGATTAAAATCGTTGTGTTCATATTTTATAAAATGTACAATATTTTTTATTGAATGCTTCAGCCTGTTGGCGTCAAAGGCGTAAAGATAGGACCGTGACAATTATGGAATACTGTTATAAGACAGAGCTCACGCAAGTATTATAGACACGCGAGAATGTACGCACGCACGCTCGCACGCGTGCTTATACATAATATTCGAATACTGTAATGTATACAAGTCTGCGTTTACGAACTTATCTATACAATTTTGCATGCACGCAAGTACTGTTAAATACGACTTTACAATCCACTGAACCATTTTTTTTATTATTTCAATCAAGTCTCCCTTGACCCTTTATTCAAAAATTAAAAAATATCTATATAGCAGCTGTATAATTGTAGCATTCACAACTAAAACTAGCATTCAAAGTCATGTGTAAAGGAAAGATTATTTATGACCTATTAAATAATTTTATGCAAAAGTTTTCAAATGAATTAAGTGATAAATACGATAAGAATCTGGTGCGTAGCATTTGAATGAAAGCTTCCTGAGATCGCGCGCACTGGAAGAAAACATGGCGGCCATATTGACTACGCTCTCCCAACCCATCAGTGTCCAGCACCAAGGATGTTTGTGCGTGCCTGGCACGGGCACGACTGCTGTTATATCGCGGTCGCTGCCGTTGTCAACGTGTCGTCGTCGTTGTTATTTCTCTCGTCGTCGTCGTCGTCGACGGCCCATTGTCCTCGTTGATGAAACGTCACTGACGGGCGAAAACGTATCGAACGTTCCGTAACGCGCGGTGATAACATTTTAACAGACACGGTATACTTTTTCTCAGCGAAATGTCAAATCAAATATGTCTAAAATGGAACAGTTTTTTAAACAATATCGCGACGAGTTTCGAAAGCCTGTGGGAAGAGGAAGGTTTAGTGGACGTAACGTTGACAAGCGATGGACAGTGTCTTACAGCCCACAAAGTGATCCTTTCGGCGAGTAGTCCTTTCTTCAAGAAAGTTTTTCAGGTTAGTTTTCTCTATCATTTACCTTGATTTCATTAGATGTTTTCGTAATCGTTCCGTTGACGGTTTAAGTTTTTCATCAATGTGCTTGGTCGATGAAATATGACAAAAATATTAGTTAAAAATGACAACACTGTACTTTAGGTTAGTGTACATTTGAAGTGTGTCATATCTCAAACTTTATTTAATGAAATAACATATGACTTTTATTAATGCATTTTCAGAATAATTAGAACTATCATTTTACTTTTTGTTACATTACAGACAAATCCTTGCCAACACCCAGTTATAATACTCCAAGATGTGCATTTTAGCGAATTGGAAGCCTTACTCATATTTATATATAAAGGAGAGGTGAATATTGAACAGAAAAATCTGCCGGCACTTCTAAAAGCTGCAGAAACTTTGCAAATTCGTGGCCTCTCTGGTGGAGATATATTCGCTAAGGAGTCTTATGAAAGATTAGTGGAGCTGGAACAGGCAGTAGAAGAAGGCACCATATCTTCTAAGGAAGAGGCACCAAGGAAAAAGCAAAAATTGAATAAGCATCAAAATTCTATATTAGAAACAGCACTGACTCCTAAAGTAACACAATTAGATAGCACAGATGAATCTACTACTAGTGAACAAGGTGGTAAAGAAAGTGATCATTCATTGCAAAAAGATTTGCAGAATCCATTCTATCAACGTTTAGAGATGAAGGTTAGTTACAAACTTTATCAATGAAGTTTGATAATCTATTTAGTAAACTGAATCTAATGAAGCGGTATTTGTTATATTTCAGATGGAACCATTAGAGACGATACTGGATGAATCAGAAAAACAGTCTGCGACAGAGAAAGATCCAGCACAAAGATTGGACACAGGGCAGATTGATGCAAATCAAGGTAAGTGTAACTGTAAAATGAAAAACATTGTTTTATAAACAATAATAGGCAACACAAGGCATGTTGTTTATGGAATTTATATTTATTTTCTCATTTGCATATGTTTTCATAAGTTATACTTTGACGCATATGTTTTAATACTTTTATATGGAAGTATCTGGAACTGTTTTAAAATTTTACACGCTAGGAAATAAAAAGGCAATAATTCTTCACATATATCGTACATGGTGAAGATCGATAGATGCAACGTTTTATTGCGATCAATGTTGCAGTACGTACGTTAGGCGTTATTTAGGGATTCGTGATTTAATCAATGGAATTATACGATTGGCAATTTCATTGAATTTAGGTGCGCAGTTGTTTTCGATGCTTTGCCAAATCATTGAGTTAGCTTTGATCGTCTCTTCTGCTTTATCCATTGGTGTGGCACGTGTTTCTTTCGTTTCTTTTCATTTTCATCAGTTGGAAGCGCGTTTAGGATAGTGAAGCGTGAATAATTTACAATCGGAGAAACTAGAGGTCAAGGCACGGGTGGGTAATTAAACGAAAGATAGGACAGAGAAAGACTTGAACAATTCGTTTATTATTGCATATTTACATTACTTATAAAACAAAATGTCCTGGCTTCTAGTATTCAGTGATTCGATCGATAGACTTTATCAAACGTGTACGCGTATAAAATATCTGTGCATGCGTGATGATGGAGATGAGTGAAACGATACGCGACCGATCATTTAACAAACTTCGTTGAATTTGCTTGATCACGCTGCAATTCACGCGTCAGGGCGATCCCGTGTCTAAAGCAGGCTGTGCTCTGATGTGTGTGGCAGGGTCTGGGAATAGCCCTGCTGAAGACATTTCCGGTTTATCTGGGTTATCCGGCCTAACTGGATTCTCGGATGTGAAGCCGCTGCTATACGCGTATCAGCAACTGCCTTACGCCGATCTTCTACCAAGCCCGGAGATAATCTCAACGTGGGCGTCTTCTCGACCGATGGATCATTTGGCCTGTGACCTTATGAAGATTCTTTTTACCCCGGAAGAGAGGATCCTCTGTAACGTGAACGGCAAGATGGGAAAACAACAGTTCGATAGTAACAAAATACATTTGATAAGAGAAGTCCTGTTGCACTTTAGTGGTATTGCACCGAATAGCGTTGAATGGGAGGAGACGTGGAAAAATTGCGTAACCAAAATCGATACTAGTAATAGGGGCTTGAAAAGGTATCTGTTCCAGAGGCGATCAGTTTATACTCAATGACTAGGGCGTTTCAGGTCAGGGGTAAAACGGAAACGTTTCCACTGGCTGGAGTGAAGTATTTCTCTCGGTGATCGTTTCGATCGACTATTGATCGTTTAGGATCGTTTTGGATCGCCTCGGAAGTTCCCGTGTTCTTTCTTCTCTGAAAGAGGCTGCTAGGAGAACGTTTTGAATGGGAGTAATAGGGGAATGGAAAATGTTCTGGGCACAGTCCAATTGTTTTTACGCTTCATGTTTACTTTGACGAAGCAAATGATCGAGTAATTCTTAAACTCGATTTGAATTTTTTACCATTGTCTTTCGTTCTAATCGCGCAATGCGAGCTGCGACGATTATTGTTTTACGATATGGAGCCGTCGATCTTTCCTTTATAGGATTTCCTTGTACCTCGTATTTTGTACCTTATGCAACGTTAACATTCCTTTTTGTTCTGTTCATTTACGATGTTTAAGCAAATTATGCACTCTCGCCATAAACGATCTACAGTTATACGTAACTAATGTTAAGCGCGTTGTTTCTTAGGGCACGCGAAATCTTTCTTACGCTCGGTGGCACGTCAAGTACTATCACACGCATTACACGCATAGGTAGATACGTAGGTGTACATATGTTTACGTGTGCGAACGTCAAATCGAGGAATTTACGTACACTAAAAAGAAAAGGAATATATTACAATGAGAGTAGTAAGAGAGGAGACATGCTTCTAGGATATTTATATAAGATGTTTCGAGTGCCGTGCTACGAGACATTCTTTTTTTATCATTTATTTCAACCCAGAAAGAACAAATTTGTTTTTCACGTTTACTTATTACATTCACGTACTTGATCTCGCGAACGTGCGAAACGCTTCAAGTTAACTGTTATTTAAACCCATACGATTGTAGACAAAATACACCTACACGAAAACATACACATACAACTGGTTGCAAATAAACCTATTTTACATTTTTAATTGTCTCGTCATTTCCCGAAATCCCGGTCTCCTCGAGATCTTAAATATGAGAAGAGGAATTATCAGAAGTATGAATGGACAACCCAGCATGTACTGGAATTCACCTCCATTCAAAATCCGTCCAGATTCCTGAAGTTTATAACTCCTGAGCGTAGAATCAACAATCTCCTACATCTCATACCTCATCTACCTCCGATTACCGGGCAACTGGCGAAGATAGTAATAGTGAACGAAGAAAATTTGAAGTCGCGGACTGGAATTACTTGCAGGATCATCGAAGCCCAGCGTAACTGTAATTGCTGCTGCACGAGAGATCTCGACACCATCGCCGGAACCGGAAGGTCACACGAAATTGCCAATTGACCACGATCGGAGTGCTTGGAGTGCTCATCGATCCACTGTCAAGATCGATTCGCCGAATCATGTTTACTCGATGTCCGATCATCAGGAGCCTGGGAACGTCCTTACCGAACCGGATGCGAGTGTTCTCCGTCCTGTGTTCCCCACTTATCCGGCTACCGCCGGCAATTCCGAATTGCCGGAGGAAAGCGCGAAGGGTGCCACGGTGTATCCACCCTTCCCGTGTCCGTTCTGCGATAGAGCGTACACGAGTTGGGGTTTCCGGCGAAGGCACATCAAAGCCGTCCATACGATATCTCCATCCCTAAACTGCAAGTGGTGTTTCCAGGTATGTGGACAATCATTGTAATCCGATAAGACGGGAGATGAACGCTTCACATTTTTCAGGTTCTCCCTACGCATGCGGCCTGGAGGCGTCACGTAATATTGACGCATAATCTATCGGCGAGCGATGCGCACAACGGTCTTTTGATACTGGAGGAAGCTCACATGGTTCTGCAAATCGCGCGCCCCACCAGGTTGGATACTTTAGTTAATATAATTAAACAAAATTCTCAACAGAATAGTAATCAAGATAGTTCTCAATCGGAAAAGAATTAAAACAAAAACAACTGAATTCTACTACGACGTACATATCTTAAGAAAAACAACCAAATGAACGAGATTTTCATATTTTTTTAAGTGCTTTCTTGCCTATTCGGCTATACTTGGTTTCTTGTTTATTAGATATATTTTCTATATATATATATAGATGTATTCTCGTTGTATATAGTTATCGTTCTTATAATCGTTGTCAATGGCCAGTATCATACTGCACAGTAATGGTAGTATTGTTGTATTGATGAAATTTTTGTACAAAGAAATATAATATTTGACTCATCCCTGGTTTCCTTCTTATTTGGAGATACGAGATATAAATGAACGGTTTAAGAATCAGATGGTTTGTGCCTTTTTTTAATTCTTTATTTTTTAAAGTATTTCTGATAATCGTGCATCAGTCGTTTGAAATTTTTATAAATGCGTTAGTTCGTGAACGTGATGGGAGAATTCGTGCTTTGCAATAGAACCGATCGTGCAGGGTGCACTTTCTTTCATCATTCACTCGATTCGTTTCGATAAATAAGTGCCTTTGCGTGCAATGAAAGGGTATACAAAAGCATTGTTTTGAATTGAAGTGAAAAATCCTGAAGATCCTTTTTGCATCATGTTGATTGCACGACATTTGCGTGTAGAGTTTCAATAGCTTATTTTGTCTTAATTTATTTCAACTTAAATTTATTTTTTATTGTCTTATGTGTAATATTTGGTTTGATATTTCTTACTGAATCGATTGTATTTAAACGAGAATTTGTAGCCGATTTTTATATTAAGTTATCAAATTATTGCGCGTCGGTGAGGAGTATTGCTAACTGTTGGAGATACGATGACGCTCACTGTAGGCACACTAGTTGACAGCGTCGATTTTCGTGGTCGTTCGCGAGATTCGAACATAAATTACAAAAGACGACTCATCAATTGGATTGGTATCAATCGGATTCCTGTCTATTTAAAAGAGAACAGAAGGAAAAGCATTAAAAAATATACGTATGTACAATATTTCTGCATAAAAAAAATTCTCTCCATGTCAGCAAAGTCGATTAATTGGGTGTCAATCTTTTCAAATCATCCGAGTCGTGCATATTTTCGTTCCATCGAGTCAGCTACAGGTATCTTGCAGGCTTCTCTGATATTATTCTCGTGGTATTAATTCCAACTGGTCGTCTTATTATTATTATTATTTTGTTAATGGTGGCATAATACGCTATACGTGTAGAAATGTTTCCCATTGTTGCGTCGATCGTTCACAACTCTGCCACGTATCCTTCGACGACGATCCCCGGTGCGATTTCCTCGGTGATGCTCTCGTTGGCCGCGGCGCTTCGACCTATCGTGCTCGGACGGTCTTCTCCCCATGCTCCTTCTCTTCCGTATTTTTCAGACATCCTCACCATCTCGTTCGGACTCCACTCGGGCGACTCATCCCTGCGACTACCTCCGCTTCTGTACACAACGTTCGACTCGGTATCACGATTCCCACGATAACCCGAACCTGGCAGTGGTGACGGTGAATGAGAATGACTATCGTAAACAGGGGTACGTTTCATTGATGCTCGACGATGACCCGTTTTCCTCAGCATCGCCTGGTGTAATCAGTCGTAGGCAACGATTAGCTCTGATAATTTCTCGCATGCGTGCACGATCTTCTCTGATCTCTCTCTCTCACCTGAAAATTGAACGGTGGCTCGTCGCTCTCTTCGTCGTAATTACTTCTGCGACCTATCATCTGCAACTCTTGAATCGGATTAATGCTGAAACGAATATAAGAAAAATAGATGAGACCACATTTATGTAACAGTTAATTTTCGCTTTAATATAGCTTGATCGAACCGATTAGGATGACTGCTACTTCTGCTAGTCTTGTCCTCATAGTCCCAATTATGACTAGCTGTGTCTATGTTACTTTTACTTCGTACATCTGAGCTGTAAATGTCAGCGCTGCGCATCGGGGGTGGTTGTGGCTGATTATACGGTATCGGTGGAGGCGGTGCGTGTTTTCTAGAGCGTATCGAGTCGGTACTATCGTAATTCTGAAAATAATTAGTGATTACACGTGTCGACAATATTGAAAAAATATTAATAGTGATCAAGATACGTGTAGAAAAGGCTAAACTTGCCCTATTTGAAAACGCCTAACACTTACTGAGCGAGGATTATGAGCGTGAGCAGATGGTACAGGACTACGGCTGCTCGAAGGTTGATGATACCCGGAGTTACCCATTCTGCTTCGGGATGACCCGTCCGGTGGACATCGGACCGAGATATTCGGATCTCTGGAAAACGGAGTGTCGATCAGACTCTGTCCCTCGGTGCCCGAATGCGCCACTCGATGTGGCGAGTTCGTTGTTTGAACCTCGACGTCTGAAAAATGCAGAGCAATCCGATGGAGAGTGAGTTCTCTCCGAGAAAAAGAAGTCGCCACTCGGCACAGGCAATCGAGTATTTTCTTTTCTCGTTTTCTTGCGCTTTCGACGCCCAACACGCACCCCACTTATATATCTATGTATGTACATTATATAGAATGATCGAAATTTTCACGATAACAATCTCGGTTGTTCTTTATCCAGCGATTCGAAATCGGTTACTTAATTACATTCGGTCTATTGGGCGAGCGTCGTAATTACGACTGAAAGAGAAAGAGAATCTGATGAAAACGTGCCGAGTCGGACGAGCTACATGTACAGAGTGGGCTATGGAAATGTTTTATATCGATAGGGGATGAAGAAGGTTCATGAGTTCTGAGTTTCGAGTGATAACGCCCGACGCACCCTGTATACGCAGCCATCCGAGACGGATCGGGTTAAAAAAGAAGAGCGATATTCGAAATGCACGAAAAAGGTATGAAAAAGAGTTTCGTTCGTTCGCGTATGGATATAAGAGCGTACGAGCGAGTATCGATATTGATGCACCTCGACTGGATGAAACAAAATGTGATAGGCACCTCTGGTACGAGTGTTCCTGTTGGCCCAAGGCACCGTTTGTCTCCGTAATGGCGCGTCCCAGGCTTCATGTTCATCGTCAGACACCGATGACGACGCAGATCTGCGAGAACGTATTTCTCAATTGACGCCACAAGTCTCCGGGAGAGTTCTTAAGCGACTCTTACCTCGAGATAGAGACGGCACACAACGGAGAAAAATAATGACGGAAACATGTGCGCGCGAGGTACAAAAAACGTGTGCAACGCGTGACCAAAAGAACAAGCAACGGACGAATTATTGGACAAACATTGACTAATAAAGAGGCTGCTCTGTCCAATTTCACGTTTTCACCTCGATGTTCGTAATGGTTCTCGTGTTTTTCTGTTTTTTTTTTTTTTCAACGTGACAGACAAGTTACGTCAAACGGGACGCGATCAAGACACAGAGCGACATACATGCGACAACTACATACACGGATACGGATGCGATTTAATGGTGAATGACATTTAATGATGATGGTCGACGCTAATATCATTAGAACTATAACTCTCGCATAAGCGTTTTCTATCGATCTGGGCCCATTTATGGGTTTCTCGGTTTCAATACGTCTACGGCTAACGGAAAAAAAGACATTGACAAGAGAGTGTAACGTTAAATTGACTCACCCAAGACCTTTCATTCCTCTCCTCATGTCGGGGAAAGGTAATTCGTTATGGAAGTTGAAAGGTAACTTGTGCACTTGGGGTGGTTTCATCTGGCCTAAATACGCGGATGATGTTACATTCGAGTTGACTTCGCCTAGAGATACTTGATCATTCGTCGCTGCGAGAGATGTTACTATCGCTTGATTGAATAGATGCACCTGTTCAATAAAGTTTCGGGATGAAATCTACTGAAAATGAAAGTAAGGAAATGCGACGGAGTAGACCCACTTGTTGCGAGAATTGCACGAGGTCTTGATATCGGGCTGCACGGTAACGTAGGAGGACTTGGAACATGCTCTTCGACCTCCATTTGCTGCTGTACATCTTCATCATCTCCACTGTCTCCGGATCCATCTTCTCTTTTCCCAGGCGAGATGCCGTATCCTTCCTCACTACATGTCCCCTGTATGCTATGTTATTTTTTACACATGAAACATTTAGTCAGTTAACTACGATTCCATATGAATTAATGAATGGTAATGGTCGAATTAATAGTTAATAGGCTCATCAAAAATCAAATTTCTTTTCCCAATTTACAACTGCTTATACCTTTCTGAATCATTACAGCTGCTTGATCTTCGGACAGGTCCACCGACTCCTTCTTCTCTATAGACGCTTTCTTCACTGAAAAAATACTCGTTAAACTTATCGACATGAATGAAAAGAAGTACGAGCCATTCAAAAAATTGAAACGAGATCGAACAAAGCAGGTGATCAGCTCGCACCCGAAAGAGTGAAACGTTGCCTCCTTTGAAAATCGATTTACCTACCGACATCTTTTCTCGCACTCGACGTCACTTTCGATGCCATGTTTTTTCGCGCGAGGAAGGCTCTCATCATGCATTGAACCTTTACAATCTTTTTCACTTGTGTTTCGTATAATCGAGACAGATATTCCTCGTTATAGTATTTCAAGAACACTTTGGTCTTTCCGATCATCCAACCTTCCATTTTCAATCTGATCAATAGTAAACGACAATTGTCCTTTGTTACTTCGACGTTCTCGTCGAAATCGAACGCCAGGAATTGGTACCTGAGGATCAATTTGTTTTAATAAAACGAAAAAGACGATCGTATCGGAGGATAATTACCTTCGAAGGAATTCTTGAAAAGATATTCTACACGGGTAACCACGTTGCCTGGCTTTAGCAGTATCAAGAACGGCCAGCGCTCTGATTTGTTGCCTAACGACCTCGCGATAAAAGCCGCGCGGCGCCCCTTCGAGGTCGGATCTCACGCACCTGATAAAATAAATACCACCACTTCCTCCACCTGTCGAAAGGTTCTTAAGGATTTCAAGACTGGTGGATTTAAAGTTAGCCGCGCACGTTCTCAGTTTCCGTGTCTGGGAATACTGTCCTCGGGATGCGGTGTTATATTTCTGTGTATAAAATAATCGTGAAGTAATCACAATTTTTGCTAATCAAGTTTTCTCCGAGAGAAATCGTTGGTTTATGTATCTATTTTTCTATCTTATGTTCTCTTGCTTCGTCATATCATACAAAAATAATAATCATAAATCATACAAAAATTAAAATGATACAATCTCACCCTCGGTCTTGATGTCTCCTGCATTAGCGCGCCCCACTTGCCCTTGGTAGTTTTCTTCTCTGTAACTTTCGGATGCTCGACGACCATGGTCAAGTTACCAGATTTGGTCAATTTGTTCGTAAACATGTCCTTTACCGCCTCGATGCTCGATTGCCTGAACGTTTCGACCATTTCCGGCGATACAAAATCGCGATTCTTCTCGACGATATCGCTAGCGTCGTAAACCAATTTTCCTGTGTAATGAGCGATGGTAAATTCGTGAGAACTCACCGGTTTTATATAAACACTATCTGATCGTTGCTCTATTTTTGTCATAATGTACGTATAATCGAGCATGTTCTTCGACGCTTCATCAATTATGCTGAATAAACCTCTGTCCCGACTCATTAGATGGTCTATCGCGTCTTTGTTGTCGTAAAAGTGTGCGTGTACCACCGGTATTCCTTCCTCTTGTTGTTCTTGCTATGGATTAAAATCGTTATAAGGTTCTACATTTTTAAAGAAATTTACTTTTAACATTTACCATTTCCCAAGCAAATATTCTTTGATTATAGTAACATTGCATCTGTTCGTTCATAGTGTTCACTAACAGTTGCTCAAGTCGATTTACTGCGAAGCATTCGAATCCAAATAGATCTATCACGTTAATCACGTATTTGTCGCCGCTGAAAAAGATAAATGTCTTTGCAACGATTTCTCTTTGTTAATTGATTCCGTTTCGAAACTCACAATAAGGCACGTGTAACTGTAAACTTGTGATTGATAGTATTTACTATCCAATCGACCAATCGTTGATACATAGTATTAGCTAATACGTCTCTCGCTTCTTTCGCTTCCTCGCAGGTGTGCTTTCGTCGCACGACGCTCCCTTTGACGAGCACACAATAATTGAGCAAAGCCCAGGTAAATTTTTTCTCATCTAAACTGAGAAGTTCCGTAACTGCAACACGAATAACAGTATATTCAGTTATATGAAATTCCATTGATAAAGCGTCAGTGTTTCGTACCTCTTTTCACAGGTTCACTATTATCCATGTCGGCTTCTCCGTCGTTGCCTTCGACGAAACGAACCTCGCCCAGCATTAAGATCGCCGCTAATACTTTCCAAATCGTTTCGCAATGATCCTCCATTTCCATTATCCTTAGATTTTCTCTGAGTTCGTCGAACTTGACCACGTTCCCGCGTGGGTCATTCCGAACCTTGAACGATCGCTTTCTTTCCGTTCCCTTTTCGCTTATTCGGAGATATCGCATCCTCCTTCCCGGTGGCAATTCGTATTTTTTCAATTTGCTGACAGCGTCGAGGCCATCGTACAAGTAGTAGAACACATGAAAGTTCGATTGATTCCTGCAAACGGTATTTCCTCTTAATTGTCATAATCTGTAGAAGCTGTAACGGAAACTGAAACGGAGATTTAATTTACGGATCAGTCACGAGTTTTCTACCTGTCACGAGTAGAAACACGCCATTTTTCAAGTTGATATATCCAAAATATGCCACCGGAGGCTTTCCCGGAAGATCCATAGGTGGTTTGTATCTCCATCACGCATCTGGTGGAATTAGGATTCAGAGGTGTGGCGGCATTACTGAAAGCCTGAATCACCTTGATAGCGCGCATCAGCCTCGCCCCGGTGTCTTGCAAACTCTGAAACGAAACCGGCGGAACTTGAAAAGCGGCTCCTTTCGTTTTCCGCGGCGTCGGCTTACTTTCCCCAAGTACATGAGATGTCGAACAAGGTGCAGCATGTTGGTCGTTTTTCCGGAATTGCTCTCGCCGGCCAATACGATGTTTTGAGCCTCATTGTTGTGCATCACATCCTGATAAGCGCTGTCGGCCACGGAGTATATGTGAGGCGCGTTATCTGATCGCGATTTGCATTGATACTTTGTGTGATACTGCAATAAACGAAATCGTGAATTTAACGCGATCTCGTTTTCTGCGTTTCCTGGGTAAACTTGATCAAGCGATAATACAACTCGCTATCGGTGATAGCTTTATCTTGAATATTAAGAATTCATCGATACTTACATCGGACCCGTAAATGTCTTGGTTCTCGTTTGGATTTAAAATCAATAGGATATCACCAATAAAGCTGTGGTAATAGCCTTGCCTCAGTCTCTCATGCAGTTCGTCCAGTATCGCGTCTTCCGTGAGTATTTCGAGCGCGGCAAGATCTTCCATGAACATGGGCTCCATGGGATCCGTTTGGTGAGTCTGAATCGAGACAAGAGATAAAAGTGTGTACTTATCTCTGTTAGTAAGAACACTGCAGTTCGTTTACTTGGAACACGTTACCTTAAGGAAACCCTTTCGAACTATTACTTCCGGCCTTGGCTCGTATTTACTTTTCCCACAAGCGTCCATCATTAATACTTTAATCTCCTTCGTCATCTGAAAACATCGTTTCACGTTATCAGTCTTCTCTTCTCAGATCCCTATCGTCTTTTTTTTTTTTTAAATGTTTTATAGCATTACCACGTAATCGTTCTCAGGTATATCCGCTAAAAAGGGATGCTCGGCTATTTCCGCCATGTACGGCCGGTTTTCAGGATTCTTCTCCAGACACCTAGAACGAATTGGAACGTATCGAACGACATTCCAATTTGGCGGTCTTTAGAGTTACGACTTTCAGACATAACATACTCGGCAATGAAATCGTTAAAATTTTGTGACCAATTGGACGGCCTGTACAAGTTCGGCGGCGGATTACGCACGATCTGAAACAACGCTCTGGTGGGATGCATGTCCTGAAAGGGTGGATTTCCGTCGGCCAACTCGATAGCCGTTATCCCGACCGCCCATACGTCGGCTCTGTTTCCGTAACCGACGTCGGAACTGCTCCCCTTGCTCATCACAACTTCTGGTGCCATCCAGCTCGGCGAACCGATGCACGTGTACCTCTTTCCTAGTTCGCCGCGAACCACTCTCGATAGCCCGTAATCGATCAGCTTCACTTCGCCCTCCTTGGTTAGTAAAATGTTGCTGCCGCGAATATCGCGGTGCATTATGTTGTTCTCGTGGAGATAAACCATCGCCTGGCGGGTACGGTGAATTCATTAAGAATCCGAACGGGAAACAAGCAAATGGGTAATACAGTCGAGGGCACGACAAGGCGCTATCGAATACCTTCGGGTTCTACTTTCGGTTCTCTTTACGCTTCTCCCCGGGCGTACGATTTTGCCGAGAGAGCGTAGACACCGGTGCCTCGTTCTCCGCCAACATTTATTTCGCGTGTAATTTGCCGGCATTAAACGTCAACGTGGCCTGATTTACCGCACGAGCGACCGTGGACGAATTGCTACTGGCTCCATGGAACACGTAGCAGCGCAGGCGAAGAACGCGACTTTCGAACAAGAGGAAGAAGACGGAGTAGAAGAAGAAGAAGAAGAAGAAGAAGAAGAAGAAGTCGACGACGACGACAACTACGAAGGGGTTGGTTGCATTTTTATGAGAGAGCAAGACGAGTGAGGAGAAAGGGAGAAAAACGAAAGAATGCACGAAGCCCCGTGCGTGCCTCGGTGTACCGGGAAAACCTATGCCACAAATTAAAAACGTGCCCGTAATCTAGCCGTGATTCGATTTGATTGGAAATCGAAGGATGATACGGAGCAAGTGAAAGACACCGGCGTAATGTTGTGCGACGGGTTAGGAACGTTTAACTAACGTACGCGAACGTTAATGCGTATTGAACGCCTACCGTTTCGTGTTACTTGACAGTCTCAGCGATCCTATCCCGTCTCGACAGATTTCATTGAAAGTCGTTATACATATAGCTTGATAGGTGTTGCAAACACGCACTGATATTTATTGCAGATTTCATTTTCTCGGTAGTCGATCAGTAACTACAGTTTTGCTTTTCCATTTACAACGACACGCTTAGTACATTCGTTGGACAAAATAGACGTAATCTGATTTTCAGATATAGTAATGAACTAATCCTCATTTCTAATATGGTTAATCATTTGGTTTCCGGATAAGAGGAGATAGGAAATATTTCGCGTCGATAGGTGGACGGATCGAGTTCGTGGAGTTCTCACGGCGAAGATAATTAGCAGAACCCATCGATTTTACGCGGCCCCGATGTTTTTGCGAGGAAACCGAAGCCGCGGACCGCGACTGCGTGCATCGGTGTGAGTACCGAAAGGAAAGGAAACGACGCACAATTCGAAACGGAAACGCGCGTTTTACCTTTGGCGTCGATCGGGTTGCACCGTTTGACGTGCAAATGACACCCGTCCAACATTTTTTTCTAATCGTTTCCTTCTGTTTGTTTTGTACCGCGGTTGCTCCCTTTGGAAAAAGGTAACGCAGTCAGAGAAACGTATCTCTCGTACGACATTACAGTAAATTATTATTCCGTAGAAGGAAGGGAACGGAATTATGGTGCATTACCCCTTTGTGACCGAGCGAATCCTCTAGTAAAATTATAGACTATGAAGCGGGATACATTCGTAATCCGTCTGCGTCACGTTTTTCGCTTTATTCCCTTCGCATTTATCTTATTTCTCTGTAAAGTCGTTTAGCTACTATTCTGTTGCGAATATCTTGAATTTTCTTAGGACAGACATATGAACAGAGTTCTTTTTAGTATTCAATAGTCGTAATATACTGATCTCAGCCACAAGGGTTAGTACGAGGAAAAGTCTTATACCAACGACAAGTAAAAACAGTATATCTAGAGAATTCGAAGGGAAGTCTACGATCTCAACGAATAGATAGGAATAGATAGAATGGCGAATGGTCAGTCTTTCATTTGGAAGTAGGTTAATTAGCCAGCTATCTTACCCGTCTTATTTCTAATTTATACGCTGAAGAGCGAGCCTTTCCGCATTTCTCGACTTTACTCGCACGTACAGATATATGTGAATCGCCCGAGTGAAGATCGATTTACTCGTTCAGGCACGGAACGTTACTTACCATACGCAATAAAAGCTACATGGTATTTATATTATCAGTTTTCGTTTAGTAACAATAAACGATGAAGGTAATGTATTTCAGATATAATTTATCTAGCGGATACATGATTTTCAAATGATTTCCAATTACGTTCATCGTTTGTCGTTACCGAACGTCAACCGATAATATAAATGCTACGTATCTTCTACTTGAAGAGTATCGTTCGCAACATTCCGTGTCTTAATGGACAACATATTTAAATCGACGTTTATCTTGTACAAGACCAGATTCTTTTATCGACGCGATTTGATTATCTACGTTCCTTACTTCTTCCATTTATCTTCTACTTCCTTTCGTTTTTCTTTAAGTCTTCATTTTTCATTCGAACCGAACGAATTTAAAAATGCACTGTCAATTTGTGACGCGATTCGAACAACGATATACCATCGGACACAATTATGTTATAATAAAGTTCCGTGGCGTATTACTACCTGCTGCTGAGGCTTTTGTTCGCTCGCAGGGCAATACGTGCATTTATTGCCAGCGCCCGTAGGGGGTAAATCACGGAACAGTTCCGAATGGCCAAAAATTACCGCGACTCCGAAGGCTTGTCAAGCTCCATTTTAAAGACAGTCCCGATTTGTTTTGCAACATTTACCTGAATCACCTCCCTCAGGATGAACCCTATGTGTTCCTCGCGCATCTTCTTGTCCATGGCTAAAAGACCGTGCACGAGATTCAACACGGAGCCGCCTTCGCAAAGCTGCGAATCATACCATGAAAACGATTATTATTTTAAATGTGAATATGTAAATTAAACATAGTAATTATTGGAAATTGTAGAAGAGTTATTTTAATGCCTGTATTCGTGTTCTACTTTAGGATTATGTTGTAATCATTGATCACTAATAGCAGTTCAAGCTACTAATCTCCGATTTGTATCGCGCCAAATTGTGAAAGCATTTAATTCGACGATAAGACCCGTAATCTTGCTATTTTTAATGGTTAACTGTTCAGGCTTCCACTTTTCAATGCGATCACATTTTTAATGTCCAAGTGCTTTTGCCAATTATGAAATTGAATTCGACCATGCGTTCCAGTAAATTTATCTCTGTCTGATTTTGTGGCCACGACGATTCTGCGCGGGGAAGCATTTGTACAAGTTTCTTGCGATCTTCGAGAGGAACGAGCACGCGATGCATTCTTTCTCGATGCATCAAGCGGAGGCACGAAAACTTCGTCTATACCCGGTTTGTGCGTCGAGTACGTGCTCCGTAGTGCCTACCCGCGATACGATATGAAATACCATCGGCGATAAATCTTCGCCACATTGTCGTTGCGTGTCGCTCGTCTTTTTCAACTGGTTCCATGCCTCCTGTTCTCTGGACTCGACGATCATGCCTGCGTGAGCGTTTACCGAGCTTTTTACTGTTGCCGATCGACTTGCAAAATCAGTTGTAACTTTCTTTGCCGCTTGTAGCTAGCCACCTATCGTACTTGTTCCTCTGCTACGCGTTACGTCTCGGCAACGAGCGATTCACGAGCGAGACCACTCTATTAACAATTTCATTTCAAAGTAAAAACGGCGCGGCAAAAAATTATATAAGTATAATGCTGCACGGTAACATCGTATTTCCGAGTTAATGAATGTATTAAAAAGAGAAAATAAAGTGGCGTGGCCGGTATTCGGAGACCGTGAAATGCGGAGGGTACGCGCGTGTACGCGTTAAATCGAATATCGACGCTTTGCCCGAGATAAGTAATAATATTTCGGGCGCACCGCGGAGGTCCACCCGTAAATTAGGGCCGCGACGTGCCAGGGCTCACCTGCGTACACGAACGAGTTTAATGATTGTTTAATGGCCGCGCGTGTCGTAAATTATCCGTGTATTCGACCGTCTCAAATGCTTGAAATTGCCTCCGGGTCCTGGCCATGGGTACCTACGTACAGCATTTCTTCCATCGCCGCGCTGTTGCCTTCCTCCCTCTTTTCTTTTTCATCTCGTTTTATTCCCCTCTTTCTCTGCCCTGAAACCCCACCCTCGCGCGTTCTCGTACCGTGTCTGTTCGCGATCTTAGGGCTTTCCTTTTTTTCACCGAAGAATTACGATGTTAGAGCAGTGCTGTTACGGGTATATCTCGAACGCGATGTTCGAACGCGATGTAAACGTTCCGGGCAAATAACACCTACGTCGAATGCGATAATAGCGTAGCTCCGGGACTGAATACTACTCACTTCCATGACGAACCATATTTGATCGTGCTCAGTCTTCTTGCCTGATCTCCTGCGATAAATACCGTAGAAGTCCGGCAGGTTCGGATGAGACCCGAACTCTCGAAGTACCCTGTATTCCTCGATTATTAGAGACTGTGACTCTGGCGTCAGTTTTTGCACCTTCACTGCAACCTTTTTATTTCCTGAGGAAAAAATATATTACGAGCATCGTGTCGATTAAAAGGTTTTCAATAAGGCTTTGTGAAATCTGTTTAAATGAATGGAATTAAGACTTTCTTTATCCTCCAAACATAATGAACACATAATGGATATTCTTGCGTGCATTCTGTATATTTTCTGCATATCATATTTTTCTATAAATGCATAAAATCTACAGTCTAGTTATAAGAGAATTAAACGAATTGCGTACCAGCTTGCTGATCGATTGCTTCGTAAACATCTCCGCACACGCCGGACCCTATGCACTCCCTCAAGAGATATCGTTTTCCCGGATCCTGTATACTGTCCATCCGTTGAAGGATGCTTCTTTCTCTTTCATCGAGCTCATCCTCGTCACTTCTGCTTCCTCCTTGTCTGTGTCCTCTCCTGCCGGATCCATAATCGTTCATTTTCGTACGTTCTTCGTCGCTACCTGTAAACAGTATTAAAACACGAAGAAAGAAAGAAATACGTTCGTCGTTCGGCGAAATGATAATCAAGAGGTAGAGTCGTGCTTTTGTAAAATAGCAACACAAACGATTACGCGGTTGGAACATGTCGTTGAGAAATAGAAATTAAACGGTTCCGATGGAGCCGCGATGTGCAAACGGAGAACCTTTCAGCGGATGCGTTCCGTGGAAACCGTACAATAAAAGGATCATTAATTTCGTTCTTGTTTCGAAGATTGAAGTACACGTTGATATAGGGGCACAAGAATGATACTCGTCAACGTGTACACTTTTTCACACTCGATCGGAGAGAAAACCAGAACCCGGTGCCTCTTCCTATCTATCAGCACGACGAGAAGGTCGAGAATGACTCTTCGAAGAGAACGGCTCTACGGATTTTTTACAAGAGGCCAGGTTCGACTGGTCAAGGGTTTTCACGGCGCATCGGCACAAAGGTGAGTGCTAATTATATTCTTTCTCGAGTGCCGCGTGAGCGAGTGGTAAATCGCTAATTAGTAGCTCGCTTCCTGAAAGCTTCCACTAGGGATGGCTAAAGCTGCGTCAGGAATTCGAAAGACACCGTTCTTGGCTCACAATCGGGACACGCCTGATAGTTTAAATGATTCGGTTGAACACAAATAGTTATTTACGTTCAGTTGTTATCCGTTTGTACTTGAAAAAGCCTGTAACTGGATTTTGCATATTTCTATTGAACAATTTAATGCTGAATCTGATAATAATATTCATTATTTGAACTAGCATCGAATCTCATCGTTCTGAAACAACGAATGTAGAGCATCTGTTTTTTCAAGCTCGGAATCTATTACGAGACCGACGTGTCAGTACAGTTATACCGATTCGTCGTGTAACCGTGTTGCACGAAGGGCGGGTGCACGAGAGAACTTGCGGGTTTTCTGCGGCTTTCGTTATTTGAGAGAAACAAATCAAGCGTAGGGCACGAATTTCCACATAAGTGTTTCGAAGTTATCTTTTCAGGCGTACGTGAAAAAAAATAATGAGAAGCATGGAAAAATAATTTGTTTGCAATAAAGAACCGAAATTAATTGAAAAGTCAGTTTTGTAGTTTCTCTTCCGCGATCCGCATCCCTAGTGGTATTTGTAGGGCTGCAGGAACGCTGTAGAGTAATACATATCCCATTTATCGGATCCCACGGATTGCGTAAGAGTATTTAATGGGTTACGACGAGGTTCCGTGGGTAACATTTTGCCGAAGAAACATCGGCCTGGTATCGATCGATGCGGTTCTATATAGTTTCGTAAAACTTCGCACCGCTGTTCGATCTATTCATCTACTTTTCCCCATTATGCAGTTGGCAAGCTTCGTTAGCACGAAACTACTCGCCAGAAAAGTATCTCCTTTATTGGATCATTAGCCGCGAACGCGTAATCCTTTGGTTGAATTCATTAGGGAACTCGTCAAGGTAATAAGTCGCGTTTAACGGTAGCTTGCCACTAATGAATACGGGTTACTCGTTTCGTGTCGATGCGTTTATGTTTTCACGATCGTGCTCCTTTCTCTCGGTCCACAATCAGATCACGATTATACGAAACTGTATAAGGTCTGACGAAATTATTAGCAGTAGAGCGATCAAGTATTGATACAATATCCGATTAACTTTAAACTGACGTAAATGCGCGCTGCATAAATATTAGGATGATTATTATATTAGTCGGAAGGTTTTCTTTAATCTTCGTCTAGATTCAATCTTAAGGACCGCGAGAAAACGGAAAACTGAGAAAGATAGAGAGAGACGGGGGAGAGGGAGATAGGTACGTCGAGCGAGGACATAGAGAGTTTGATGTGGGGTAAGGGGTGAGAAACAAGAGGATTCGCGTCGTTAGCCAATTCATTTATTCCTGGTGGGTCGGCGCTCGTCCGGCATAATCCGTCGATTTGTCGGCGCGGCTCGTCTCGTGTAATGCTGCTTCTTGCCGCTTCTTGCCGTTTGTAATCGGGAGGAAGGGAAAGGGAAAGGGAGAAAGGGTGAACGAGATGGATAGAGAGAGACAGCAGGAGCGGAGCGAGAGGGCGACGCGTCACCGACTATACGTGAACGTGAACGGACGGACGTAAGAAACCCGGGTTGATCCACGATGTTCCACACGGTGGTTCTGTTTCTCTTCGCGTCGTATGCGATACGACGCCGTGCTTCCCCCTCACAATCAGTTTTCTCAGTGGTCTCGCGAACGAGACCGTTCTTCTTCTTTCTCTCCCTCTTCCTTTTCCTCGTTGTGTTCGCTGTCGAGCGGTGCAGGTTTATCGGTACGACAGGGCGTTAAATTATTGATGCCCGACTGCGCGTCGCGAGAAGACGGACGAGAAGAAAGGTGGAGAGGTAAGCGGGAGAAGTACGGGACGCGGGTCCCGTGATTTCAGAAAAAGCTTTCCGTGCCACTCGGTCCATCAGTTCTTTCCTCCTCGTCGTCTTCGTTTCTCACCATTGATTCGCGATGTACGCGAGCTATGTTTCTCTCTCTTTCTCCTTCGATCGTGACGAGCTGGCGCTCTTTAAAAGGGAACCAGACGTGGGGGCGACAAAACGCTTGTTGTGGGAAAGATTCGCACACGGACCTGATCGGCTGCTCAGTCAAAAATCAATCATGTCCTCCCCGTGATTTTGCCACCTTCACCGGACGTAACGTAGCTCCTCGCGATCGCGAATCTTCGTCCGTTAGACGAGACTAAACGAAGCGAAAACGAAATGAGAGCGGGTGGTTGCAGAGCGCGCCTCCTCGAAAAGAGATCGTGTGGGAAAGTTGATATTCGAAGAAGGTCTCCTGGTATAGCTCCGGAATGTTAGCACCGCGAAACCATGGGAAGAAGCACCGACGCCGGTAGTAGGAGACGAAGAAGAGGAAGAAAAAGAGGCACAGAAGCCGAAAACGATCGGCTGCCGACCGGTCCGGACCGGTTGAAAAGGGTTCGACACTCCTTTCGTCGGAAAGTACGGTAAACTGGTGACAAGTGGCTCGTTTCTCTCGCTTTTCTGTTCCCTTCGCGGGGTTTCCTGTACCTTTAAACGCGCCTCCTCCAATGCGTCTCGGTCAATCGGAAAAACTAGTAAACGCAAATCGCCGTCCTCCTCGATTCGGCGTTCGGATCACCGATTCATTCGCCGCCTCACGGAAAAACCAGCGTATCGGAGCTGTCGCGTATCAATCCGATATCGTGGCACGCCGATCGATTGTCGTCATCGAAGAAACGTAAGGATCACGGTGGTATACGAGGCACGAGGCTTCTGCTTCTTGCACCGCGAGCTCTTCCTCCCTCTCGTTCTCCCCCTACATATTCCTCTTTTTCTGTCATCGCTACCTTTTACAGATCCTTGAAGATCGATCCTTTCGGCAGATAACGCTTCCATCTCTTTGGGATTCCGAGGTGGAGGTGTCGCTGTTCTCGCGATCGAACGCGGATCGAAAAGTCGTCCGCTCATCGTCGCATGCTTGCGCGGTATTTCCGTAAGGGGGTTAATCGGTACCGGGAATCTCACCGCTATTCTTCTTCCTCGAAGCTCATGTAACATTTAACTTTCCGCTATATTCTCTTCCCGGGGTCCGCGACTCTCGATTGCCTCTTCTGTTTCTCTATCTCTCACTCTCTTTGAATTCTGTCTTACCACAATGTATCTCTCGTCCTCTCGTTTTTCCTTTATCCCCCTTCTCGTTCTCGTTGGAAATACCGTCCTCGGCCGAAGTATCGTCTTCGTGTCCGTCTTTGTCGTTCTTGTCCAACCGAAGTTGGTTCGGGACGACACCTGCCTGCGGATTTACCTCCGCGGTAGTCTCTTCCTCCTGCCTCCCCTGTCGTTTCTCTATGCATTTACGGATTTCTCCCTTTTTCCCCGGCGTCTTGGTAAAACACGCTGAAACACATGTTCCGGCACCTCCGGGACGCGCAACGTGGAACGTAAAGCACCTCGCGTTATACACCTTTTCTCATTCTTCTTTCTTGTAGTATGTACCTCCGTTCTTCAAGCTATTTTCTTTCTTCAACACTGTTCAATTCTCCTTCTTCCCTATTCCATCGAGCAATAACTCGTTAATCGCGGTTTTATTCACAAACGCGATAAGCTGTGCCATCGTCGATGTGTCGTTGCAGTTCATCATCTCTTCGCATCCAAGATTTGTTTGTTTTCAAGTGAAATAAAGAATTTCACTAACTCGTCCTCCGATTATTTTTCAAATCGAAGTTACACGTGGATATTTGCAGACTGCATGGGAAATATGTATATCGAATACATGTTTTCGACGTCGGCTCGTATCGTTGACCGGTTCCACTGTTTACGGGGATATTCACGACTGACTCTTGCACGATTCATAGGTTCATTCCGCGTCGTCGACGCGCTAGAGAGGACATTGCCTGTGCAAGGTCTAGCATTGAAAGGAAGGTGTAAAACACTTACTTGGTAAGAGAGTAGTACTAAAAAGTAACGGGGGTCGGGTCGGTGGTGGCTCTTAGCGTGGCTCACGAATGAAACTCACCTCTAATTAAAACGTCTGGCAGGTTGTGCAGGCCCTGCGGCGTCCACCCTCGCAATGTTCGCAATGCTCGTGTGCCGAAGTAAGAGCCGAGCTCTACGACGCTCGTGTAGGGTGGTAGTCATGATTGCGTCGAGGGAGTGCCGCCGAGGTGGGGTGCTTGGCTTCCATGATCCAATAACGCCGACTTAATTAACTAACTGCTAACTCGCAAGCCTGTTAGCTCATTGATTTCGTACCAGAGATCGTCGTCCAGCCCCAACTCTCTCCTTCTCTCTCTTTTTCTTGTCTTCGCTTCGCTATTTTCTCTTCCTGTTCTCTTTGAGCACGTATATGCAACGCTTTCCTGTTGCTTTAAGAAACACAAATTCATTTTCCACAGGCTTCATCCATGACAATCATCGGAAGCTTCGCTTCCCTTTCCACAATTGTTACATAACATTTCAGTATAAGTAATTCTTCATTCGAAGATTATATGATGAAATTTATGAATTGTTTAAACAAATAAATCAATCCACGATATAGCAAAATGCTTGAAATTGAAATATTATTAGGAGTGCAATAGTTTACTTATTTATTATACAATAGTCTGAGTTACTCGATTAGAAATATCACGTGTTTCCAATATATTCAGATCACGTAAGAAAAAGAAAAGTGTTCCGATGGTTGTACGTTAATCTGATCGATATTCGTGCGATCGTGATCGTTTTCGCTGGCACTATGAACGTGCCGCGAATCGCGAAGCGTAAGGGCACGAGAAATAATTGTTGCGGTACACGGGTATAGTAAACATAAGTATCTATCGGTAAAAAGTGTCGTCGTGCTCCCGGTTCTAATCTCGTTGGCCGGATCGATGCGCCTTGAAAAAGATCTGCCGAGGGTCGCCCGATAAATTAATGCGCTTTATCGCGGCTTCTTCAGGGTCGCCTTGGTCTGGTGGTAGTTCGTCAAAGGGAGCCGCGAGTTAATGCGAATACGCGTCGCGACGTGACGCGTCTCTTCGTACGAGACACTTCCGCGGGTCTCCTATCCACTGATCTAATTTCGATTAACAGGATCTCTTTCCATTGAGTCGCCTTTTCCTCTTTTTTCTACAATGAAATTTCGATTATTCAAACCTCTTCCATTCGAGTAAAACTTTATTAACCGAACATATTTCGTACGTTCAGTTTAATATAAATTGTCGCACAATGAAATTTGTTATTATAAATTGGTATGGATTTAATCTATTATTGTAGGAAATTGCAATAAGTTGCAGATGAATTTTGAACGAGATGCTCCTTCTCGCCTGGCAACAGAGTTGAACGATTGATCTAAGGGATTGTTTAAAATTCTAATTATATTGCTTTGGATTATCGGTTATCGACGTTGCGCCGAGCGCCGACCCGCATAGAATGCGATTATAAAAGCCCTCGTCCGATTTCGGTACTAATCTAATCGAAATCTTAATCGTCGCGTATACCGTAGAATCGAAAATCTAATTTGCTATCGATGAACTAGAGAGGCTTTGAACGAGTTTGCTTTGACAATATCTCGATGCTCGAGGTTCTCGATGGTAAAAGATAATTGTCACTTTCAAACCGATGAACAAAAGGCCTCTTGGAATCGAGTGGTTGGAAACGAGGAAGCCAAAAGTCTGTCGATGGAGTTGCGTTGTTCAAAGCGAATCGGAAAAACGAGAGCTAGAATGACACACGTGCAGTGGCTATACGTATACGTATTAAGAGTAGAGTATCAGACTGGCATGTTTCGCAATAACGAAATGGTCTTTTCGCTTGGCATGTAAGTGGGATTGGCATAGATTTTTTTTCAAGGTTTTAACAGGGGACAATTTATCGTTCGATCGATGGAAAAGAAGGTCGAACGAATCTATCGGAGTAAGGGAATAAAAGGTATTGGAAAGGCTTCGGTCATCTGTAAATCTGTCCGAAAGAGTTACGCTTTCCGAGGCGATTTCTGCGCCGCCGGGGAGAAACGGGTTGTTGTAATCGGCCTGTGGGCTGGCTATCCGCGCGATGCACGATCCCGTCGTGAGAAAGGAGTAAAATAGATCAATACCGATGCATGTATCGGTCGAAGGAACTCTTTATTTTATGCGCAATATTAAATTGTATACAATCGCATTCATTCCAAATCTTACGCGCGCACAATTTACTTCGTTTCTAATAATACTGTGACGGAGGTTCTTACAGTTGTTGCTGTGGATATTAAAATTACCTACTAATTAAATAGAGACAACGTTACAAATAAATTATTGGCTCGCTTAAAGTCTATCGATTAAATTATATTTATTCGCGCGATTAAAAACAATTACATCCGTTGCATTGTTTACCACGCATGGCTCTGTTTCGATCGTTTACGATTTTCAGTGCCTTCATTAATGTACTAAGCGTGAATGAAAGTACGGTTGTCTAGTGTGTTTATTCACGAACCACGCGTTTTTATGTTACGATCGTAGCCTGAAGCACGAAAACACATTCGTTGATTCATTTATTCTTAAACGTCTGCTACCGTCCTCTTACGGACGATTAAATTCTCGCGGTGTTCTTGACGATGTGATAACAACCGAAATTTTAATCGATTCGATACCTCGATCCGATTTAATCCGTACGTTCGCCGTTACATGCTGGGCGCCCTATTCTTTCGAATTTCACGTTGACAATGTTCATTTTCACTTGCAAACCGTGATCCATTCTTCGACGGTGCAGTTCTGGCATTGCACGAAACAGCACCAATGAAATTTGCATTTACATCTCTCGACCCGTCGTTGTCTAACGACGTTGTAACCCCTTCCGCAACACAAGCTGGCGCATCCGTCGCCACTGGAACTGGTCTTGTTGCATCTGCGGCCAGCGGTGCCGGGAATATCAGCGCTGGGATCCTTCTCGCAGAAATTCGGAGATTTTTGATAGTAGAACAACTGTTTCGCGAGATCTCGCGGTCTTCTCTTGCGACCACCGCCGCCACCGCCGCCCCCGCGATGTTTCCTCTGTCTCTGTCGGTCGGGCCTCCTTCTACGCGATCCTCTCACTCTGGTAACCGGTGTCACACTACCGAAATTGCTGTGCACGACCAGTACCGCGTTTCGAAACCGATCCTTCAACGTTTTCCCAACCAGTCGAAAGTCGGGTGCCACTTTCCAGCAGGTCTTCAACTCGCAGGAACCTGACATTCCGTGGCACTTGCAGCGTACCTGCATGTTGCTCGCCACCGCCTAAAATTTGATCGATTCGTCGCATCGTGGTCGAATTAAATACGAAACAATTGACTTCTTCGAATTCAACTTCGAATGACTAAATGAATTTTATGATAACTGAAAAAGGTGAGAGTCTGCAGCGGTAATCGTAGGTAAGCGGTAAGAATATTGGAAGAGGGTTAAAATTTCGAGAGCTAAACAGACGATAATCGAAAAAAAGCGGAACTGCGTTGTGGTGAATGGTCAAGAATCGCGGGAACATCGGCTGAAGAGGAAAGGGAGGCAATTTCTTTTAGACAAAGAGGTGTCGCGTACAAAACAGTTAATGAGTCTACCGCTGGGTGGTCCAGCCCCGGGCTTCGTCTTAATAACGTCGAGGCGAGACTGAGCGTGGAGAGGCGCACGGCGGAGAGGAACGGACTCGGGTTTGTTCTCCTACTCCTCCTCTCCGCCCCTATTCATCGCTCACCTTCTCCTTCTCTCCCCGGACGTACGGTTTCCCTCTTTCTTTTTCGCGTTGCTCTAGCATCGGCACAGGAGAATCATCGTTAAAACGCGAAGAAACCAGCGGAACCAGACGGAACGGGTAAAAATACACTAACCGGAGAAGAAGTATATTGTCACGCAGTGAAGTATTTATCGCGGAGTAAGCAAGACACCCGGGAGAAGAGGTAGGCGCGGAGGGGAAAGAGGCAGAATGAAAGGGAAGATTAATCAAACGGGCTTACTAAGCGGCCAGCTTGATTGTTGTGGAGATTGACTGTCGATTGCATATCCCCGAGCCTCTCGCGCGTGTCTAGGAACTGTCTCGAGAACTCCATGCCGTAGTCGAGATTGTGAGAGCACCCGCCCCACTTCCATTGGGTGCCCCTGGCCTTGGCGGGCGGTTTACCCTTGTAACTCGACGGGTCGCATCCGCAGGAGAGCAAACGACCCATGCTACAAGCACGGGCCACGCTGTGGGCCACCCCCGCAGCCGAAATCGCGTACGCGAACGCGGTCTCTCTGTAACCTGCGATTAACATCATTAGATTATAACGAGACATGATTCGTTAATCGGAAATTATAAGATATCAGTTCTAAGATTAACATCGAATTAAATAATTAGAAAGGAATGCAAGTATTATTCCATTGGGCAAAAGTTGACAGAGGTTTAAGAACCGTATAAGGATTTTATTTTATCCTATACTTTTACGCTTTAAACAACCATTTTTATGCGATCATCGTACATGCCGTTTTTCGTACACGCTGAAAGAGGAAAGAAGAGTAAGATCGGGACACGGGGACTGGTTAGCAAATTGCCGGTCGTCGACGGCGACGCCGACTAACAGGCACGGGGCAGTAATATACGCAATGCATGCGACAGCTTCTGCCGCAAGCGAGGAGAACGCGAAACACACAGCGGGACACCGCGGAGCCGGGCTTCCGTAGAAGGAGCCCTTCGGGTTTGCGAGACCGACGCGACGGATCGTTCGACAGACAGCTATCAGGCGAAGTTCAGAGGTAGATTATTCAGCCGTCCGTCAAAACAAAGCGTGGCCATCAGCAGCGGCGGCCGGCGAGCATCCATTGACTGCATGTATAAACGATCTCGTGCTGGGCATCCTCGAGGACGACGCAATGCCAAACTCTGGCCGCGTTCCCTTCTCCGCCAATCCTGACATTTCGCGACGATTTTACGACCGCCTTTCGACGCCTGTCCGTTATCCAGTCAGCGACTCTTAATCCTTTCTTCCGTGTCTCAAGGTACACTCGGCTGATTATTCAAATCGATGAGGCCAAGCTTAAAGCATAATTTAAGCGTCATTCGATTCGCGTGCGCGCTGACAATTGCGATGCATCAGACACTGATTACGATAAATCATATCAAATTTGTTACGGTGTTTTTAAAATAAGTGTTATGACACACACGGTGATTGGTGGGCACATCGTTAATTTAAGTCGAATATTTAAATGTGAAACTACATTATCGTAGATGATGATAACGTTGGTAGAATTTGGAAATTCGTGGATCGACGACCAAAAGACGGTTTAGGGTTGGATCACTTGGATAAGTAATGCGACGTCAAACGCACTTTTTCTCGGCTACCTCCAAGGTCTCTCGTCTCCGAAGCGTTGCTGGAGTCGGCTTGACGGATGGCCGATCGTCAAATCGCAATGGTGGCTGTCAACTTACATACGATACGACACACGACTGCCGCCCGTGCAACCGAATACATACGTGGTCCAAGAACGATCCCTTTCTCTCTTCGCGAACTGTTCTCGACAATGCCCACACATTACTCCAACCCCTTTCGTCTCTGCCTTCGGAACGGACTGCTCTAACTCCGATCCACGAATACGGGCGGTATTTGCAGTATTCATGAGAGCGAGATACCCGGGGAGACGCGCTAAAGGCACATTCGAAAGGATTTGTGGTATTCGTTCTCGACACCCGATGAACCACTGTGCTGTCGTTACGTCGTCCCTTCCTTTTCAACAAACGTTCCTTTTGTTCCGTTCCGTTTCGAGACCACGTTCCGAACGGAGGTTCGCGCGTCAATCCTCGATCGAGCGAAACGAACCAGGCGTATGTACCCTTAAGATTCTCGGACTGGTCCTCTCTAATTTCGCGTTCGTGTCTTCGCGTGGTCGCGAGAGGCGATTGTCTGATCTTAGCCAGGACGAGACGAACCAGCACCGATGTCCCTGAAACTCGCATCGTGATTTCGTTCGAGGTTCTCCGAACGTCTCCTTTTCCTTCGAGGAGAAGAATCGTCTTCGACAGGATTCGTTTCGGTAAACAAGATTGGACAGCCGGTAGCTCGATTACGTCGTTCTTAGTCGAGACACAGCGACGTTAAAGACTCGAGGAGCGCAGAGCGACGAGCAACATTTTTTTGGAGATCGTCGCTTTCGATAGAAACATCGACGACGAAGAACGAGCCTTCCTCTTCGCAGTTATCGCCTGCTCCGTTTCGCAGGATGATAACCCCCTGGCCAACGAAGCCCCGAAGACGAAAGAGAAACGAAAACAGTCCTCTTTATATGGTCTGACGACGGGAGGGGGTGGCTGAAAGCTTGCGCTTTATACGGCTATTGGCAGCAACTGTTTTATAATGCAGATAACTGCCGGAGAAGAGGGCTGCATCGCTGTGTTGCTGGCTTCTGCTGCACACGGTGGTAAGAGGAGCACCGGTGGGCTCGTAATAAATCCTCCGCGGGGAGCTGTACGTCTCTTGTTGGACAGCGGAGAGGGCCTCCGAGAGAAGCTCGGTGGAAGAGGAGAAAAGAGAACGGAGGAGAGTCGTGGTGCACAGAGGGCCACGCTCAGCCTCTTTACTCTTCGGCCCTCTTGATGTGGGGCCGCGGGGACGTGGTGACGGATGGCGCACAGGCCTTGCCCTGCTACCCCGTGTCAGGCCCAAATCACTGTTTAGATAACTCAATAGATAGCGCGGCCGGGTACACAAACTTAGTAATGTTTACGGGAGCGTGTGCCTCCTCTTCCTCTTTTTCATCGCGTCCGAACGACTTTAGCGCTCGTGTTCCCACTCCTTTGGTGATTATTTAACCCATCATCGCGCTAGATCATTTGACCCGTGCCAACTTATTATCCACTGCCACTTAGCTTAGACAAGTAGGCAACGAACAAGTAAAACAAGCTTTTAGCTACCTATCGTCTAAAAACTGGATCTTTTATCAGATTATACAATGGCAGATTCTTTATCGAGGAATTTTTGTTCAGTGTATGCTAAGAACCTTTTTGATTATTAAGTCAATTTTCGAAACGGATTCCAAAATGTTCCGATACGATTTAAATATAGCGAATTTACGACTTGTCGCAAAATTCGCAAATCTGGAACAAGTTTCGTAGTAATGTCATTAGTATTTACGACTTTAAATCATGTTCCCATTCTTAGTGTACGAAGGGAAACGTCGGGTACGCATGGCATCTGGTAGTAGGTCGCCTTGTGTGGGCCTGTGAGCCCGACTAGGAGGAAGAGAAAGGAGTTTCGTGTATATTTCATAATACATTAAGTCGTTTTACGAATACGCGGCAAAAGTGCAGGACGCGCGATGTGGCGCGGGGTCAGAGGCAAGACGGGGACGAAGGTAACGGGGCGTGAGTCGGTCCGCGCGAGAGAATGAAAGAAGGAGCAACGAGAGGACCGTGTCCGAGAGATTCAACGACTCGTGTTCGCCTCGAGATACGTAGCCAGCACGAATTTGATACGGTGGATTTCTCGAACGACCGCGGAGGCCCTCACCTGGCCACCGATGTTGTCCCTTAAAAATACTGGAACCGTTGGTAATGGTAAACTACGGGTCTCGTTTCTCGGAAGCTGCTGCCCTCTGACTTCGAACTTCAACTCGATCGACCGTTCCCTCGTCCGAATAATCAGCGAATCGACCCCCTCCGGTTTCTTTCTTGAAAATCAGACAATGAGCTAACTATCTATTATATGCGAACATCATATATTTTCTCCAAATTCAATGGCTAACTGATGGACGTTCAGAGATAGTGTCGTCAATCTGATAATCCACTCGCAGAAAATGAATCGCAAAGGATGTGTTTAATCGATTGAAATCAGGAGTCAGAAGTAAAGAGCGTAATATCGTTCTTTCGTCGAAACAACTTGAAGAACAGTCATGGAATCGACACCTCACCGTTCGTCGGTTGAGCGAAAAAAGGTGTACCGATCCACAGGGACAGATAACAGAGAAGACAGACGTGGCGGGCACACCGAAGATCGTGGCCGCGGGACGATCTTAAGCTTTCAGGTCAGGTGCGCTCGATCTCGCGCTCTCGCGCACTCGTCCGACACGATATATGTTTCCTCTTTCGACGCACGTACGTGCCACGACGAATTTATATGTCACACTGGAATAGGACAGGCAAGGGGACAATCTCTCCTTCTTTTTGTTCTCGCCCTCTCCCCCCGATCTCTCCTCCCGTTCTCGTCTGCTGGATTTTAGGATAGGACAGGTTCTCAGCACCGCAACTGTAAGGCAACGTGTACGTATTTTGGTTTGAGGAAGCGTACCCACGGTGTCTCGCCTACGCGCTGGTTCGTCGATGTCATAAAAGATTTCAGTTTTTTTTTTCGGTCATCGTTACCTCGGGTCAGCTACGACCGAGGTTCGTTCCTCATTGCGTCAACGTCAACTGAATTTTGTCCCTTGTATGTGTGAAATTGATAGCCGGTGGCAGGTAAATGATAGCTTCGTATAAAATATGACTAGTAGGTGTACTATATGTATACATATGTATGTACATACCTGCACAATATGAGAACAACGTGATCTAACTATAAAGTCAACGAAGAATGCCTGTGGCTGCAGACCACAGTTATCTCGCTACTACTGTGTCACATGTAGGATGCTATGGACGAGATACACAGATCGCATCAATAATTCTATTACCTGATGCTATAAACTAACATATTTTGCATCTATCCTTCTATTATCTGCATGATATATCACATAATGTGTTGATGTATTTCACTTTAATCTTAATCTCCTTCAACTCACTCTTAATCATAATACTAGATAAATGCGAAAGTTTGCAGCATTTCATGTGATTGACGTAAAAACTGCTGCACTAACTGAGTTGAAATTTTACTCATGTCCGATTGACACAGACATATTTTCGTGTAAAGGCTTGTGTTTAAATAAATTATGAAAAAGATTACGTTTTCCAAAATATTCTACAGCAAAAATTATGAAGAAAATGTACTAAAATATTTTTATCCAAAACACTTTCGTTTTTAAAAATAAAAAAACATTATTGTATACGAATTACAGTCTAAGAATAGACTTATACGATATTATAATTGATCCTCACAATTTTTCCTGTAGAACTTATTTGTGCGATTTTTGTAATTTGGAGAAAGGCAAGTTGTTATAAATAGTCTTATTGGTTGGTGTATATAAAAGTAGACCGATTTATTTCGTTAATAAATAATAAATCTACGAAGAAATATTGATAAAATCTCATAGATTAAAAATCTTTTTCTCCACCGATTCTAATTATGAGGGTAACAACGAGATAGCTCGTCTGTGGACCGAATAACGAAAACAGATGCGGGACACGTAACGTCTGTTATCTGATATCACAGAAGCAGACGCGGGACATAATGATGGCGTCTTCAGTAACGAAAGAGTTATTTTATAATATACAGTATAATTTAATTATTCATTGTAGTCATACCTCTCTTGAGGAGAACGCTGCTCTGTTGAGTTCTGCTCCTGGGCGTGAGGGATGAACAGTTCCACCTGTGCCACATGAACTGATGCTGACACTCGGATATCGCCATTTGCAAACCTTTGATCGCGGCCACCGTCACGTCCGGATTTCTCTGGCATAACTCTTGTTGCTCTTTGGCCAGGCCCGGAATACCTTTGCAGACCACTGCGTTCCCGCTCACCCAATCGTCCACCGAGTTGCTCATTAAGCAGGTCGCGCTGCAAATCAAACGGAAATTTACCAATTAAAATCCCGGGTCCGGACGGTACCGGACGGGACGATTGCGGTTTTTCGTGAAAGCGGTCGCGCGTTTTCGTTCGGTTCGATCGTATTGAGTGATTCCGCTTCCAGGGAATTCAACCGGGGACATTCCTCGCGCTTATGGCACGCCGCAATCGGCTCTCTCGAAGCTCTCTTCCTTTCGCTCTCTTCGTGCAAACTGTTACCGGCGTGTCTACCTCCGTTATCGGATTCCTAATCGTGAATGCATCCCGAATGCTTTTGAATTCATCGATTAAAACCCCGAACCCGACTTCGCCGCGAGTAGTTTCAACTAAAAATTGTTGAACGACCGGTACAACGATAAAAGCTCTCTCGGGGCATGTCCGTTGCATGGCTTTTATAACGCGTTTGCATCTAGTAGCACGCGTCGTCTCTGCTTTCCTTTAGACAATTTTACGAGGCTCGGGTCAAAGATGCGATAGCTCTCAAAGAGGCCAGACGAATATATCCGCTTGCTTTTTTATTGGTTCGTATCGGTCGCGTAGTACCCGGATGCCACGTTACCCTTTTTTCCAGCCCCCTGGGTCTCGTCCACTATACTTTTGCATCCTCGCGATAACGCTATTCACGTCTCGGATGAAGAGCTCTTAAAGCGCTATCTTAAGCGACAGCTTCTAGTTAATGGCATCACGTTACGAAGTGCCGGGTGTTAATTAATTGCCAGATGAAAAAACCCGAAGAGAAAGCTAAGCGAAGGCGCGGACGTTAATAGACGGTGCGCGAAATGTGACAATAATTCAACAGTTTTATTGAAGTAACATAATAATGGCATACGTATAATAATTCTTACGCAGTTGACACAAGGATTAGGTTACGCAATAATAATTTACATCGGTTTGACGCGAACAAAGTTATTCTCAAGACTAATTGTAAGTAAGACCTTATATCAGTATCTCGCGTGAGACGAACATTCTTTACAGGACATTGCGTTCTCAGGGTTGGTTTCGTCGATAGATCATCGGGAGTTGTCCTGTCGCCAACGGAGAGAGAGAGATTTTGATTCGTTTATTTGTACGCGGAGGGATCAATTTTTTGTGGAGGGTTCGCCGCAGCCTTCGGGAAGGATGTCATGGACGGGTGCAAGACGGTCTCTGCGGGACGGTGGTTATCTGCGGGTACAAATTAGTCGACGAGCTTCTCCTAAAGTAAAAGCTGTGTATAGCACCCGCGCGAACGGCTAAAAGAGAGAAAAGAGAGATATAAAGGGATACCTGAAGGGGCAAAAGGAAAAGAGGAACACCGCGGCGGGATTCGGGCGACGCAGAAGGTCCTGGAGAAGCTCGGTTTTGGTGTTCGTAGTGTGGGAAAGGACCCGGTGGAGGAGGACCAAGATTTTAGGGTCGCAGAGGTTATTGAGGGCTCCCATTACCGATACAACGTTGCATCGCTGCTATCTTTCGCGCTATTGATGATCTACCGAAAGCAGATTAATGATCTTTACTACCCGAAACAAATTACCGAAGACGTCGCCAGTACCTGTGCCCGAAAACGAAGCCTGGCCAACTTCAGGGATTCTTTCCGTTCGATCTCCCCGCTATTAGTTTCCCGTTGTTTCTCATTTTTACCGTTCTTTTTTTACCTCCTCGCGTTTGTCCCGTAGTAAGAGTCAGCCACTCAATTTCTCTCTGGTGACAATTTTGTCATTGATAAGGTATTTATTGATATTTTAATCAAAGAAATATAGAGAAGAGTTCTCGCCGCAGAAAAAATTGATCAGCGAGTTTCACTCAAATGTAAACAGACGAAAAAACGAGTCAGTAGAATCAACCTGCGAAAGGGATGAATTCAGACTGGTGTAAAAGGAATTACATCCTGTCGTAGCGAAACGATATCGTATACGTATGGAATAAGATAAAAGGGGCGCTGATCGCCCGGTCTCGTATCTTTGGATCGTGTTCTCCGAACTCGTGGGAAATCGTGGAGCAAATCAAAGGTCGAGAGACGCGAGCGAGAGAACGCGCCCTGCATTTTTGCAATGATCCAAGGGGTCGCCGAGGAATCCAAGATGGCGTGTCCGGGATGCACGTGTTTTATTTAACTTGTTCACGAGGAAACAGATGAGAGGAAGAGTATGCGTGGAGAAGCGGCGGGTGTAGAGGGGAGGTCGGGGGGCTAGCACGGGGAATGAGAATCACGGAACGGAATTTCGCGTTTAATGGAGGTATACCCGCGGTGAGGAGAACTCGTTACGAGCGAACCGCGAGAATTTCTGCGGCAGATATCGAATCGCTTTTGCTTTTCTTGTTTACGCGCGGATCGAGACGCTCTCGTGCCTCTGTATCCTGGCTCGATATTCCCAGTCGAGCTTCGATAAAACTCGGTGGAAGCCGCGATCAAACGATTGACGAAGGGGCGAAGGTAAAGGAACCAGTTAATCGAAATTAGTGCAACGATGATGAGAAGACGTTCAGCGTCCGTGTATCACGCAAACTGGTTTATCGGTCATTACATCACGGAGAATTATTCGTTGCCGTGATTCAATGCCGTTCCGCAAATATACCGGGACTTACACACACGTGCCTGTATCTATAATCGGGCATGCATACGAGAGCGTGTCCGTGCGCGTACAGTCTTGTCCTCGGATGCTGTTTGTAATTACGTTTACGAGAAGCCGCGTGGGCACCAAAGGAGAGTTGGCCGTGGTCGTGGTCGGGACCACTCGTTGGTACTCCTATCTTGAAGACACAACATTGTCACAAGATAGTCGAGAGGCGTGTTTGCCGTTTCGCGAATACCGAAGAGCATGCGCGAATCGTATTCTTGGAACCGAGGAGGTCGCAGAATTTATCATGATTCCCGGAACTCGCCGTGTTCTCCGACGTTTGAATTCGCGTACCGAAAAACGACTGATTTCCTTCCGTCACGCGTGTACGCATCTTCGTTTAATAGGCGAAGCGAAACGGACTCCCTTTGAACGGTGAAGACTCTTTGCCCGTAGAAGAAGATTCGATTAGAGCGTATAGGGCGTTCGACGCGGAGAGCACCGGCCAGATCGGGTAGGTATAATGAAGATCGCAGCGGGATCGCTCGGTGTTCGTTGCTGGTTGAAAAGGGGCCTATTTGCACTCCGTCATTGTGCTCTGTGCTCGGCAGTACTGACGTTAGCATCTCTATTGACAAATTCTTTCCGCAAGAGGCGAGAAGGGAAGGGCAGAGCGAACGAGCAAAAGAAACGGACGCAGCCGCTGTGCTGCTGCGCTCGTAAATTTTTCTCGAGCAAATTAGACACGACACTACCTCCACCCGTCGCCTCGTGTCTATCTTTCCCTCCCGTGATTTCGCGACATCTTCATTCCTGTCTCTCAAACGTACGTGACACGACGATTCGCTCTGATCGCGATACCGCTGATTGAACCGCTGTATGCTCGTTCGTGTTCGGTATCCGATTTATCTCTGCACAGTAACAACTATGCGGTGAAGATAAATAAATATCCCTGATTGATCCGCGAGACATGGCACCCAGGCACAGAACGAGCAAACGATGTTATTTAAAAGGTGAACAGACGCGTTGTGAATCGCAGTTACAATAACAAATCGGACATAAATAAAATGAACGATAATTATCCTGGGCGATTGGCGTGTACTTACCGACGATTTTCGAAGAGAATCAGCAACAGGGCGATGGTAGGTCCGATTCTAATGGTGATCCTAGACGGTGGTCCTTCGCAGGCGCGTCCTAATCGAGAAGGAGGCATCCTGTCATCGCCCCGAGGACGTTCTCTTATTCTTCGCGCGGTTGCCCACTTTAAAGAAAAAAAAATAAAGAGTCTCGAGTACGACCCCTCGTCCAAGGCCTACACACCCCTAGCACCCAAACGGAAAAGGACCCCTTCGCTCAAGAGACGCCGATACGCGTTGTCGTCCTCGTTCTTTCTTTCTCTCTGTATGTTTCTCTGCACGGTTTCCTTTTTCCGAATCCCTTTCTCTCTCTCCTACTCTTCGACTCCCGTCTCTGTGGCGCGGTGCCTGTGATCAGCGGTCTGGCACGCGTCGAGGACTCCTCCTCGCCCCGGGCACCGGCGCTTCTGCTTTGACGTTCTGTACGATTCGAGAGCTTCCAGTTTCGCCGTTCCGAAAGGGTCGGCCGCTCTCCGAAAAGTAACCCCGGGACAATATCCTCGATGACGATCGAACAGTTCGTTAACCAAGAACTCTTCAGATCCACACCCCGTTCTTTTAGCGTTTCTTCCCGTATTACTCTTTCCGGTCCGACGTAGCTGTCCTATTCGATTCCTGGACACCGGCAGTGCGATAAATATTGGAACACCTTTGGTCTCAAGTTGAACTCGTCTCCTGTCTTTGGGGATAAGAATACTGTCGGTATCTTCGCGCAACCAACAAATTCCTTTCAAATTACTTTGGCTAGTCGAATATGTCACTGACACTGCTGTCGCGAACGTCGCACCGGTACGTCAACGTCGAACATGTCCGTGCAGTTCGCTCATCCTTGTCCCATGGATACTCCACATCCCACGAACCGAATGAACACTTCTGGATACCCGGAGTAAGGAGCGCGGAGAGCGCGTCTATCCTCGGCCGGCCGCGATGACGGTCATCGCTGCGCCCTTCAGCCCATTCACCGTCAGGTATCGTGGCATTCTGTTATGGTCGTCGCACCCTCGTGAAATCCGGACCAGGACCGGTGGTGGATCCTCCCATCTACTCTGGCGGGTTTCCGATGCCCTTAGCGAACGTGTCCAAAAAGGAGAACAAGAAGAAGGCCGTTTGGGTCTCGGTACTTCCGGTGTGTGCGCGCGTTCACGGCGAAGTGTCAAGCTCAAATAAAAGAAAAGTCGCCCTCCGGGATCTCTTACTCCTCCCACGCACACATCCCCCTCCTTCGGCTATGTGTTGTTCCTCTTCCACCTCGTTGGTCTCGTCCCGTCTTTCTCTATCCTTCTCTCTCGGTCTGTCTTTTGCGAGCGCACCTCCGCGGTTATCGTTTTCGTCCGTGCAAACAGTCGAACAGCAAACTTCCCGCGGTCGCGTTACGCGCTGACGAACCGGCGATACCGAGGAGCCCGTTGACACGTTGCCGCGGACGTCGCTGAAGGAACGCGTCGCTTCAACGGTGGACGACGTCCGTGTTCTCCTCCTTCGACTGGTTCAGAGGATCGGGAGGGCTTAACGTGAAAGAGAAAAGCGTCGCGGGGAACTGAGAACAAGAGACGCAAGAAAGGTGTGATAAGGGCGAATTGGGACGCACAGTTCAGGTCGTTCGAAATTAGAACGGATAAAAAGAATCTGGGACACCGGGATGAAGAGGAAGAAAGGCGTCTTCGTAGGGAGAGAAAGGCGTAACGGGAGATGAAACCTTCGGTATGATCGAAGGGAGGGAGAAGAAGGGCTACTCGATAAACCGCGAGTTCGACCGCGATAGCTGGGCATTAAGCGTCTGCGATGGCCGAAGATTCCGCGCGAACGACCCAAGACCTTGCCACACTTTCGTTTATCGTCGTGTGTTTCTACGTTTCGTTTATACCGACACGCTACTGTGAGTCCAAGAGGAGATAGACAGAATCTGATGATTCCACCTCCGTTCAAACCCGACGAGGAGCTGTCAGGGAGATTGGTCTGTCTATGATGAACTCGGTGCGCAATGCGCGGCTACGGGGTCCCTCCTCGCCCTCCCATAGGGAGAGAAAGGAGAGATAGGGAGCGGTAGGCACGAAGAAACCAACTACCCCCCCACCATAACCACCACCATCCGGACACGACCACCACTACCACTCTGTCTCTCTCTCCCTCTCTGATGGCTCTCGGCCACCAGCCACCACCCTGAGAGATCCAAACCGAGTGACGAGGACGGACGGTATCGCGAGTAAAACTACCAAACGGAGATGGAAGGTCGCGAGGACCGACATCGACGGAGAGAACGAAGGAAGCAGAGATGGATGAGAAAGAAAAAGAGAGGGAGATTAAGAAGGAAATAGAGGGAGATGGTCAGAGGACGGAGGAGAATCTGTTCTGCATCTCTCTCCTTCTTCTCTCCCATTTTCGATCATCCTTATTTCTCCAATCATTTTGATCTGTCTCTCTTCACTCCTCATCTTTCTCTGTCTTACTTCCCCTCATTTTCCTTATTCTCATTCTATTGCCCGAAATCACCACTCCGCGTATTTAGCATCGGCGATCCGATCGTCTCGCACCTTACCACATCGTCTCTCTACACTTTCGAAACGTTTTTCATTCGCGGAAAAGATTGTTTTAAAGTTTGTTCCATTGGAATGATCCGCGGCAATGAAGTCCATATGATTCCGTCACGAATTACGCGCGTTCATGCGACTGACGATTCCCGCGATTCTGCCTGGACTTGTAGAAGAAAGAGGAACGAGAAGGAACGGAAGGAAGAAAGGAAGAAAGGGAGGTCGCCCTTGATCACGTGGCTGGAAAAGTAGGAGGAGCGAACTTCCCCTACCTGGCATCCCTCGGAGGATGCTCAATCGGCATAATTGAGGTTTATCTCGTTCCCTGACTACGCTTTCCGCCTACTCAATCCCACCGCTTCTCTTCCGTTTCCGTCTGATTCTGCACACGCGCGCGGACTTCATTCACTCGAGGGGTTGTTGGTGCTCTTTCGCCGCTAAAGAACTTCCCTTTGTTGCTTCCTGCTGCCGGAAGTAGTAATGTTCCGGTCGAGGTAGCCGTCGTCGCGTTCCAACTGAACGAAACTAATGATCAGACTCGACGTTTCCACTGTAACGTATCTACGTATCGGATCGGAGTCGGGTGACATGTATCTCTTTTTCGAGTTCATTGCTCGTGATCAATTAGCAAGGGATTTGCTATAATGATCGCCGCACGAAGGATCAGTCTGTTTCGCGATCACGAGGGAGAACGTACGGTAACTCTCCATCGGATCGGTCTTTTCGTTCCCCTCCGTCGTCCTTTTCCAATCCACGCACTGCTCGCCAGCCGCGATCATTCCGAGCGCGGATTTCGTTGACGTGGTCGCTGAGCTGGCAATTAGTCGCAACGACGAGCCTGTGCTCGCGCGGCTATAGTTACCCCAACGCGCCACGTGGTCGAAGATCAAACGACGTCCCTGAATCAAAGCGAAAACCCGGTCGGGGTCTCCCGAGGATCGCCAGGGACGCAGATCGAAACGCATGGAACTCGTTTGACGATACTCGCGTGCCGCGATTTACCTCCGTCTCTAATTAGAACCCACGTGCCTTTCGCGGTAAATGAGATATGTATCGTCGCCGGGACGAGAAATATCGTCTTGCGTAGATCTACTTATGTGTCGTTGCTTTCTTATTTCATCTCATACGATACATATTTAAGTACTGCTAGAAGAGCTTTGCAAAATAAAAAATCGCATACGTAACACATTTTTCACTGTAATTCATGATTTTCTTGAACTACCATCTGGATTCATAAACAAAATGAGAGTACACCGTTCAATCTCGAAGGAGACGGTGTCTCAGGGAAAAAGAGAGGGTCGAGTCAGACCGATACAGTAGTATATGTATACCCGTTAAGTATAGTTCAGTTCAGAGTTTATCGCGTAAAATTATCTGTACAGATTAAAGGAATTACGTTTTGTATCAAATATTGAGTTCATACCGGATGCTGTGTGACTTACATGTACAAGATAATAATCTATAGAAGATAACAGTATTTCACAGAATGGTCCTTCCGATTCCAACAGATGTTGGATACGTATACTTACACCGTGCGATGTCATTAAACGAAATTCGTGGCGAAATCGCATACATACGAGCGATATCGTTGAGAAGTGTTTGTCGAGGCAAGCGTATGAATGTGATGCAAGCGGCTGCGATTTTTTTTTTTTTTCATTGTATACGCGAGAGAACCGACGACTACGTTCCATTCGTTTGGTAGTGGACGCTCATTGCCGAGCCAGGTACCCTCGCAGCGATAAGATCGTTCGTGCTTCCAGAGGAGTTCCTCCAACTTCTCTGTCTCTCTGGCTTTCACTCCTCGTTCACTCTCGCAGCTCTTTTTCCCCTCTCTCTTTCAACATGTACTCTCTGTCATCCTATCTGGGTGCATTACTTATCGGGCTATCGAGTGTCCTGACCATGATCTTGGCACGCGAGCGCCGATACCATCGAACCACTCGATCATCCTATCGCCGTGCAATGTGCCCTGATGCACTCCTGCTCGGAAGCCTAATTGGCCGGCGTTCAAAAAGGGTTACGAATCCTCTTTCCTTCTCGAACTTTTCGTCTCCTCTTTTTCTTCTGCCTTCTAACTGTAATCGTTGTTCTATTTCACGGTGTGGTATCTTCTATGGTACGTTCAGAGCGAACAGTTCAGTTAGAATTAATTGAGCAAATGACTAAGGTTTCGAGGTCCTATCGTGAATCGGAATTTAGAAACAGTTTGTATAACTGCACTTGTAAGCACGAATTAATGATGCTATTCTTATTACTATGGTTGCGTATTCCAACTTAGTCTAGCTCTTGGTTTACGGTTTGATCTTACGTACGTTCACTCGAGCGTAATATTCACAGGAAAACTGTCGCCGAGCGCGCGACGTCCGTTCGTATGTCGCGCCCTAAGCTCGCTCTTACTTCTTTGTAGGTATGAAAATCCCAGTAAACGAATTATCTTCCACACTGGAACGGCGTAACGGGTATTACTTATGTCACTTTCTTCTCACCTTCTTTCACGCTTACCTTCTCCCTCGCAATTCGTTTTCACCCGTTCATTGATTCCGTAGACCGACCGATCAGAATTACTAAGAAATCGTTTTCATATTTTGAGCGTAATACGTAATTGATAGATTCCAGATTTCATTTTTGATTGTTGATTCACAATGCCAGACTTTCGATTCCATTAATAAGAAGATTTATTTCAATTGACATTGTGGATCGTTGCGAGAGAGGCTTAGTAATTCGAACGATCCCTGCTTCACCATGGAAACGGTGGAGGCTATGGGAGCCACGCCGAGGCAGAGAACTATCCGGAATGTTTTAATAATATGCATTCCTGAGTGGGCGTACGCTGAAAGCACCTCGGGGGTTGTATTGTACTCCGTTCGCTTTACAATAACTATGATTATAATTAACCAGCTATTTTTCTCTACCGAAAGAATGCGTGTCTCTTAAGCAATTTGGACAATGATTCGGAAGCGAGGGAATATAGGAAGGGTAACGCGATACATACTTGTGGAAGCGACACGTTAAAAAAAATTAATAGAAGGGGGAACACGAAAGGGAAAGTCGAACGTCCCACTTCCTATTACGTTTAAAGGGGCGAACAAACATATTGTGCGCTTTGACGAACGCATCCGAGGACGAATTTACTGGATATCCCGTCATTAAGTATTATGCCGCGGTACCGGGTGCGTCAAGTGAGCGTAACACCCACGTTCCTGAGAAGAAAGGTGCGCGCAACGCCCCCATCCTTTTTAGGCGACCTCGTTCGTCTTGTTCTTAGCGATTATTTCGGTTTCAAACGCGCACCCCAGATGAAAGGGAAACGTCCGATTATTGGGGAATAGACCGGAAGGGAATCGAAGAGGTATTCCCGAGCGAAGGGAATAAATTCAGATCGCAACTCAGATTCCTTAAATCTTATGTACAGTGACTAGTAATAATATTTCATCCGGGTCATAAGTGGGACTTAAGTAGTTGCTCACGAAAGTATTGGAACATTTCTTAAGAGTAGCTTTTTTAATATTAGACCAAACATCTTAATTTTTTTATTAA